AGGAATGATAGGAGGCTACTTGTGGGTTTTCTTGCCCCCCTCTGGGAATTACTAGGTTTGTAGATGAGTAGACTGCAGATTAGTGACGCAGGAATTAGCAAGGTTCTATTGTTAAATTACAGACTAACGAATTTAAGAAATCTAGGTCAGCGTTTTTCAAGTTTCATTGTGCTGGGACCCCTTCCATTAACAAAAATTACCGCACAACCCCAAGAGTGAGGCGTGAAGCCTGAGCCCTGAAGCCCAAGGCTGAACCCCTTCTATCCCGGCTCCAGCAAGGCCTTGGCAACTCCCTTAAAATAGGGTTGCAATCCACTTTGGGGTCCTGACCCCACAGTTTGAAAACTGCTGATCTGGTTAGCTTAACTAGAACCAGTATAAATTTTGTTTTTGTCTATACCAGGGCTAAACACACAGCCCATTTGTTTGCGGCCTGCGGTTGGGAGCCAAAAACAAAAAAGTAGTCAGTATAAGGATCTTCTGTTGATATGCGTTGTATTAGTTAAATTTCTGGACTGTCATTGTTCATTAAGGGTGTGTCTAGACTACAGGGTTTGTTAACAAAAGTGGACTTTTGTCGACAAAACTATACCTGCATCTACACTACCGCCGAGTTCTGTCGACGGTGGTAAACCTCATTCGATGAGGAATAACGCTTTTTGTCGACAGAGTTATATCGAAAGAAGGCGCTATTGCATCCACACTTGGCTTTTTCAAAAGAGAGTGTCTAGACTCTGTCGAAAAAGTGGCTTGCTTTGTTGACAGAACTGGCTGTAGTCAAGACGCTGTTTTTCGACAGAGGCTTTGTCGACAGTGTCTGTTGACAAAGCCTCTGTTGACAAAAGCCTGTAGTCTAGACGTACCCTAAAAGTGCTGTCATATGGGTGGAAATTGGGTAAATATTGTATTTATTAATATCAGCAGAACTGACTTAAATGGGGCCTGCGTGTTGTGTAGTCTTGCCTTAATCTTTGTATTTGTGCCCATCAGTGTGAAAACAATTTGCATATATATTTGCATGTATATGCAACCACACTTAAGTGGCGGCCCTCAGTATGTGCTGTGAGTATCATTGTGGCCCCCGGGGTTTCCAAAGTTGAGTAGCCCTGGTCTAAACTTTGGTAACTCTGAAAGGACTCAATCAAGATTTCTTTGGAGTGTGTATGTTCTAAAATGATTCAGGATTTAATATATCACCATCAAGAAAACAGTGTGTCATTATTTGGGCCATGCACATTCTCTTAGGGCCAGTTAGTATGTGCCACACTCATTCTGGTCACAGAAGGAGCATTAGTCTAGCACTACATATTTGCTTACAGAACCTTAGTGGTGAACTGATATGATTGGCAGAGGGGTAAGACAGCAATAGGTGAACAGGGAGAGTGAAGGACAGAGAAATTGGCATTTTACCAAGTGTGGAGTCTGGGTAATTGCTGTCATACTCTATAGATGGAGGTGGGATTTTATCCATTTAAACGTTTTAATATTTTTAATGCTTTTAGGGCAACTTAAAGTGCAGTCCTGCTCTGCAGAGTGACCCTAAAAGCGCTGTTGTTGCATCCCAAATTTGTCTGCCTCCGGATCAAACGAGTTGAGATTAATAACAAAACAGGTTTATTGCTGGCAGCCCTGCAAAAATTCTATTTTGATTCTGAGAGTCCGGCTGGCTTGTTCCTCCTTCTGCCTCACCCCAGCACTGATGGTACTGTACGTAGGGCAGCGAGTGCCTCAGGGGCTCTTGGCAGAGCTCTAACTGGTTGGAATTCAGTGACTTGCTTGGGATGATACACATCTGCACTCTGGGGCTGTGCAGGTGTCGCTATAGCCAGTGGCCCTCAATCAATTTATTTTTGTGGGCTACATCCAATACTGCCTGTATGACCCTGCGGGTATCACATGGGCCACAAATAGCCCACTGGCTGCAAGTTACGAACCACTCGTCTGTGCACATGCTCCCTGCAGAGACAGGAGGGGTTTTCAGTCACTGCAGTAAATCCACGCTCTCAAGAGGTGATGGGTAGGTTAACAAAAGAATTCCGCCATCAACTTAGTGGTGTCTACCCCAGGTTTTAGGTCATCTTAACTGTGTCTCTCAGGGTGTGAATTTTTCGTGCTCTTGAGCAGTGTAGCTACATCAGTGTAAGTTTTAGACCTCTCTAATGTAAACATATTCACAGACTCCAATTCCCTCTCTCCGCACTGGGTTGGCTCTGCAAGGCTAGGATTGATAAAAAGCAAAAAAGCTTATTTACGATGCTATGTATCTGAGTAAAATACAGTTTGGGAGCAGATCTGCTCTAAAAGAAGGTGCCAACTGCGAAGTCTCTGCAAGCGGCATAGAAACATTTACAAGACCCCATAATATGGGGTAGATAAGCCTTTTGTCTGACCTAATATGCAGAGCCTTGTGCAGATACAAAATTTATGATTCCTAGTCTTGCAGAGCCAACCCAGCTCAGAGAGAGGGAATCTGCAAAAATGATCTAGAGCTATTCACAGATTTGCAGAGTTTCAGAAATAAAATTGGTCTCCATATCCACAGCAATGAGCTGATTTGCAGGGCTCTACCACTATGGCCAGTCTTCTATGCTGATTTTTTACATTATTTTTGCGAGTGGAACTGCAGTTTAAACTAATTCAACAAAATTAGTTCCACTTTTAAAGACCTTTTTAAGCTTGAAATGTGACTGAAATGTGGCTCAAATCTTGCCCCTTTTGCACCCACCAAGAGCTATAGTGCTAAGCCCTGTCCCTCTAGCAGAGCTCATACAGAGTGGTGGGAGCAGCCCTCTCACTAGGAGAGCGCTCATGGAGCAACGTGGGGACTGCAGGATGGAGAACCATGATGCTAATTACACCCAGTTCTTTCTCTTGTGTGCATTTTTGGCCTATAATATGATTATACCATTAGGCCGTATTCTGCAGCCTCGTACTAGTTCTACATCTCACTCCTACCCTGCGGGATGTATTCATTAGTTCATTGCTCTGCCTCCTCATAACAGTCTGTGGTTGATTGAAAAGTGGAGGCTTTGTATAAAGAGAGACCGCTAATCTACTCACGTTTGATAAATGTTTTGTTCTCTTTAGGAAGCATTTATTCTTCTGTGCATATTTCCCAACCTCCACTATGCTCTTGAACCTGGCACAGACCAGAAAGTAGATAGGATCAAACTAAAAATAATAGCAATGGTTGGCTTCAGTAAGCAATTTGAACCCATTATTCCTAACTGCGGCCACATAAATCACTGCTTCTAGAGGCAATCCAGCATTTGCAGCATCCCCTCGCTGAAAAGCACTGAAATGTAATAACCATGGCAACAGTTACTGAAGGCAGGTCACAGGAAGGGACAGAGCTGTGCTTTACAGACAATAATGGACCCAACTTGACTAGCAAATGATATTGTAACATGACAACAAGATACTCCGTGCTGAGATGAGCCAATCAACCAGCTAGGATTCCTGGTCCCATTGCAAAATGGAGCCAAATTCGATGACGACGATTTTATTACTTACTGTTCAATAAAAATGATGGTGTTAGAAAACAACCTGTTAAGTTTTTAAAGAGAATAAAATGATAGTGGCCACAAAAATACCTTTCAACTATGAAAGAAGCAGCTGAGATGGATGTCCAGGAGAAGTACATCACCACCTTGCCCATTTCAGATATAATGGTGGCATCCCCAAACACGGGTCATGTCTGAATGCAGACCCGCCCCCCGTGATGGAGCACCAGGAGAAAGCCACCTCCTCTCTTGCCCTAAGCCTCAGCTGTTGGTTGGGCCCATTAATATTTCTGTGTAAGGTGAGAGGGTCCCAGAACTCGGGCTGCAGCCCACGCCCGAACACCTGTACCGCAATGAAACAGCCCCTTAGCTAAAGCTCTGGTCACCAATGGGCATCTAATGGCAGTCCAGAGGTGTGACTGGTGCCTCATTGCTGTTGGTAGTCAGGCTAGCTCAGGTATATCTACTAGTGCTGTGGTCGCACCTCTGATTGCAGTGTACACCGATCCTTCCAACACAGAGAGCGCTCTGCAAATCAGCAGATACCTGTGGAGGTGGAGGCCGATATCCACAGCTCATTTTTGCAGAATACGAATTTTGTATCGGTGCAAGGCTCTAAATACAGACATTTTGGGGCATAGAATCTGCCTGTTTTTATGTTTGGAAAGGGCAAGGTACATTACATTGTGAGTGCTACTAAAAATTAGTAGTAGTAATATTAACAGCAGCAATTTGGGACAATTTGGACAGTGAGGTATTTCTTACCCATCTATTGCTATGTTGTCTGGGACGCTACTGCTAGCAACACTACTCTTGTGAATAGTGACATGACATCCAGAACTAGGGATCTCAACGTGTAGTCGACTATCAGTTAATCTTGTCGACTACTCACATCTCCCCCCCCCCCCCCCGCTGCCTCTGAATTAGAGGCTGCGAGGGGGTGGTGACCATGAGAAACTGGCTTTAAGCAGCGTGCCCCCTGTTCCTGCTTCCTACGGGGGGAGGGGCGAGGCAGGAGCTGGTGCTGGGGGGAGCTGGCAGAGCAGAGGGCAGTGGTGGCTGCTGCAGAACAGCCTCTGTCTGGGGGGTTTGAGTTCCCTGTGGACAGGCTGCTCTGCATTCCACGGAGCAGCCTTTGTCTGTGGCAAGTCTGGGCCCACCGTGGGCAGAGGCTGCTGCCCAGCAGCAGCTCCTGTCTGCGGGGCGGGGGAGAGCTCCCCATGGGCAGAGGCTGCTGCCATCCCATTCTGCTGCCTCTGTTTCATGCAGGCAGCCAGTCCACGAAGGGAGCTAATTTTTAAACTGGCTCCCCTGGTGGATCGGCTCAGCCTGCTACCCTGCCCTTGGTGGCAGGGGGTGCCCCGGTATTGGGGCCAGGAGCGCATTTGCTGCTAGGCCTGCCCCTGGGGGAATATAGAATAGTCTTGTAATTATAATATTTTGTGCAGTTACACGACTATTCAATTACACTATATCTAACATCCCTACTTAGAATCCTGATTTTTAAGACTCATCCAAACAGCACCCTCTACCCCCATGTGTAACTGGTGGAGAGGGATGACTCAAAGGGCAGAATCAACTGCCTACACCTTGTGCAGTACCAGGATTCCCCACGAACTGACCTGGATGGTCTGTGTTTTGTGTACTCTAAGCCACCTAGCCGGTGGAGTCAGTCCCAGTGACTGTCGTGGACTTCTGAATAGCTGGGGTAATGTTGAAAACATTAGCCTTTGTTCTTTCACTGAGAACATAAGAGTGAGAGAGATTCAATCAGAAAGTCAAACAACTCTGAACTGGTGAGCTGATAAATTCTAGCCACTTTCTTTCTTAACTTTATTATTTAGACTGTAAAATGTCTGGAGTAGGGACAGACCATCCCAAGGCCATGAAATGAACTTCCAAAGGGTCTCAGGGTCATCAGAAACCTTACCAGCTTCTGCTCTAAGTTCAAGGTTCATTTCTTTGACCTTGTCCTCTCTAAGATAAGCAAGGGAGGTAGGTGTCTAGAACAAATTCCCCTCTTCCAAACAAACCTGGTACAGAGAATGAGAACAAGTACATGACAGATGTGGGTCACGTTGCTTAAGACTGGAAAGTGCTCAGAACCTATAGAGCAAAGAATTGTCTCACTATGTTGTCACAAAGTACATAGAACTATGGGGCCCTGATCTGGTTTGAAGCCTGTAGGTATGACAGTAGTTAAAAAAAATTAATAAACTTTTGATCTGATTCCACGCTTGGCTTATTTTAGGGCTTTTATACTGAATAAAACTGAGTAAAAATATCAGAGTCAAAATTGGTCCAAAAGGCAGGTATGGAAGTCTTTTGGATACTGCTTTTAACCTGAAAACCTTTATAGATTTGGGCCCTGCCTGCCTCCAAAGCTGCTTTGCCCATGTTGACTAGCACAGGGTTCAAAGAAGAACCAGATAGGTTCATCAAAGGCTGGTAGCCAGAGTGGGCAGGGCTGATGTCCTTAGCTTCTGTTTGCCTGAGGCTGGAAATGGGCAAAGGGGCGTGGGTCACTTCTAGGGATGCCAGATGACTGAATCAAAAATACCAACACCCCCCCCCCCCCAAAAAAAATAGGGAAAAAATTCTGTTAAGAGAAAAAAAGGGTGGGGGAGACCAAAGTTGTAGAGCAAAAAAAAAAAAAAAACTCCACGACTTATTAAGCAAAAATAATAATAATTAAAAAACCAGCATTGCCCCTTTCAGAGTGAGTGCAGTCAGAATAGGGATAGGAACAGGGGAGAAGTTGAACCCTAAGGCCCAGGGAAGGCATTGCTTCCCCTTGGTCCTTAGGCTTTCTGCCGGTGGCCATTTTGTGTTCTTGTTCAAGCCAGAACTTAGCTTCCCTGCGGAACCAGGTAAGCATGGGGTCCAAGGGTTGGGGGTGGGTGGGGGCTGGGCCCAGGCGCTAGAGTTGCCAGGTGTCCAGTATTTTCGCCTCCTGGCTGGGGAAAAACCCTGGAAAATACTGGACATTTTAGGTGTCCGGTATTTTCAGGATTTCTTTCACCGGACAGGAAACGAAAATACCGGACTGTCCGGGTCAATACCAGACACCTGGCACCCCTAGTCACTTCTGTTATGGTTCATCCTGTAGCATAGGACAGTAGGGTTGTTTTGTTTTTCCCTGGCAACCCTATGACACACTCAGCAACTGGGCCCAGCCCCCAGGCTCCTGCCCCCCGGACCTCCTGCTTACCTGGGTCCGCAGGGAAGCTCCCTTCTGGCTCGACCAAGAAAATAAGATGGTCGCCAGCAAAAAACCTAAAGACCTGAGCAAGGGGAAGCAATGCCTTCCCTGGGTCTTAGTGCTCAACCTGTACTCTTCCTATCCTAGCCAGACTCTGCATGCAATTAAAGGGACCATGCTGTTTTATTTTATTTTATTTTGCTCAATAACTCTTGGGGTCCTTCCCCCCCCCCCCCCCCCCTTCCACAACTT